CTGAAGGACCACGTGCTAAGTCCATATTTTCAGCTGGAATAGATTAAATTTCCTTCTTAGTAGCTAATGCAGTGCTGTGTTTTGAATTTGAGATGAAAATAATGTTGATTACACACTGTTTTGGGTGTTGCTGAGCAGTGCTTAACCTTACACTAAGTCAAGGACTTCTCAATGTCTCATTCTCTGCCAGGTGCACATGAAGCTGTGAGGGAGCATGGCCAGGACAGCTGGCCTGAACTGGCCGAAGGGACACTCCACAGCATAGTGTCAGTATGTACATAAAGTGGAGAGAGCTGGCTGGAAGCCCTCTGATTGCTGCTGGGGAATGGGCTGGGCACTGATCAGCAGGTGGTGAGCAATTGTGTTGTGCATTGCTTGTTTTTCTTGAGTTTTATCCCTCTCTCCACCTTGCTCTCTCTTTTTCATCACAATTATAATTTTTATCATCATAATTAGTATTATTAAGAACATTGTTATATTTTATAATATTTTAATTATTAAACTGTGTTTATCCCAAGCCACAATTTTTGCCTTTTTTCTAATTCACCTCCCCATCCCACGGGGAGAGAAGGGGAGGAAGGTGGTAAAGCAGCTGTGTGGCACTTGGTTGCCAGCTGGGGCTAAACCACACACACACTCAGTAAATCATTAGATATGATCATCTGTTATTGAGCAAAAAGTGGAACATAAGTTGCACAGATATATTTTGTTCATCAGCCTAAAATTTTAGAAAGTTTTAACTAATCCAGTAGTAACTTCCCTGGATGTTACTCTTCTCAGGGAATTAGTGGATAAAATGTCAGGGGAAGAGGGAAATTTGAGATGAAAAAGACGCAGTTTTCACGTGCCATTTGTCTGAAAATTTATTTCTCTTTTGAAAGGTTCTGTGGGCTAGGGGAAAGAAAAGTGCCTTCTTACAGATAGGAATGTTTTTTGTGTTACTGTAGAAAGTAGCAGTAGAGCTAAAGCGGGGAAGTTCCTGGTGACTTCTGTTGCACAACCTCATTTATGGGACAGGCAACACCAGCCTGTGCCCTGACATTTTGTGCTTTCACAGCAGAGTCAAAGGACAGTGGGAGAGACACCAGGAGCAGGAGATGAGTCCATGAGTCATCCTGGTGCTGCTCATTGTGGAAAATCCTCTTTCTGAATTTGTTTCTTCCTTTGCTCTGTCCAAGATACACAAGCAGTCACCTGCTTAGGTTAAGTTTTGGAAAGGGGGCTGGAATGATAATGCAAATGAAAAAACAAAATATGGTGCTTGTGAAAATTCCCCTTCCGGCTTTTTTCCAGTAGGAAGACTTTTCACCTGCTGGTTTCCATATTGCAACATTTCAGAGGGGGTTTCCACAGATAGAGGATATGAAATTGAGAGAGGAAGAATTGTTACAGGAAGTGGATTTATTTTAAAATATGTTTGTTTTATCCCATCTTTGAATAAATTGTTGTGGTGTGTAAGATATGTCACTGGGTTTGATACTTCTGCCAAGCAGAGTATGAAAATAAGGTAGCATGTATATCATGCTATATTTTAATATCATAGAAAAGTTCTACCTTTTCATAGTGGGTTTTTTTTTTTTTGTTTGTTTGTTTGTTTTGTTGTTGCTCAATAGGTTAATGCAATTTATTTCCATGGAGTTTTAGAACTTACAAGGTTTTCTATGCAGCAGTATGCAGTGTCATAGAAAGCACAGATCAGTCTTTCCAAATATTTGTGAGAATTTTTCTAGTCTGTCTCCTGCAGCCGTCCTTCCTCTGACACATTCATCATCTCTGTCCTTGCCTGCCAGGACATAAAAGCAGACAGCTGTTGCCAGCACTACTCTTTTGCTAGCACTAAACCACTGAGAACCCCTATTACATCTTTCCTTCACAGGAAGAAAATTACTTCCTCTGGATCCCAGATTTCCCCTCTTCTGCTGTGTGCAAATCTTCTTGTGTGTTTCTACACGTACCTTTGTGCTCCTGTGTGGTTTTCCATAAATTATTGTATACATCTCCTTGAAGCAGGAGAGCTCCTTCATGCAGGGATGTCATCTCAGTCCCAAGAGAGTCAGAAGTTGCAACTCTTTCATCAAGTACAAGATCATCATCCTCTTCCTGAGCAATGGCTCTTGTCCTCTGATTGTCAGTCTAATCAGAAAATCATTGGCTGATGAACAATATGCTTCTGTACAATTTCTGTGACCCACTTTGTGTGACAACACATGGTCTTGCCTTATCATGGATTTAGCATGTGGCTCCTCATTGACAGCTGAAAACAACTGAAAACAGTGTAGTAAAGAAGGCATGAAGAAATTGTAGGGGGGTTTTTTGATGGTCTTTCGTAGCTTTGATATTTTTTAAAGCTATTTTTTTTCATGATTTCTCTGGGCTTAGCTTTGTCTGGTATTAATTCTCTGTTGCATCATTGCCACACGTGTTGCCCTCCTGTAGTTTTCTGCAATATTTTCACCCATGTGCTTATGGATAAAGCAATTTTTAATTTCTATCATAATTTTAACCCACATGTAGTTCTGCTCTGTATGCCAGATAGCTGCTCTGTGGCTCATGGTGGCACTCAAAGCTCCAAATTGGAATGTATGTGATAAAAGGCAAGGACTGTACTGTGTTTTTATGTTTAGGGTTGACATAGAAAAAGAAAAGGCGACAGATAGTTATGACAGTATCTATTGGTGTTAAGAGTGTCATTGCTTGAGTGATGAAGAAGAAGAAATAAAAAAAGGGAGTGGGAGTGTGCCTTTGTTTCCTCCTAATGCATCTGTTCCTTCTGCTTGTTTGCAGAGAGGGGCATGTCAATCTGACAATGCCATCAATGTGACCTTTCTCTGTGAGCAGGCACAAGGAACAGATGAATCAAAAGGAAGATATTAATTAAAACCAGAGATGTCTCTTGTGTATCACCCTCTGCACTGTTGAGAAAGATATGCTCGAGTTAGGTGGGAACAGGCCACCTGTAGCAGCAATACAGCTGTGACAGCAGTGAGCACACTCATTTGTGTGGTAAGAACCACCTATAGCTTTCCATCAGACTAGCTTAGGAAGTCAGGGATACAAATGGGATTTTGGTTTTGGTCTTCTTGCCTGCTCTGTTTATGCAGAACTTCATGCAGTGAACAACAACGGAAGATACTCTTAGCAGTTTGATATTCTTTGCTCCAGAATGTCTGAGTATTTGTCCCAGTCTTTGTTGGATAACATTGAAAATTAATGGGGTGACTAAATGGCTGACAATTTTACATGATCCTTTGATGTGAAAGCAATTATTAGTGTCTATAATTATCTCCACAATTACTTTGATCCTGCAAACGGCATTCAAATCAGCATTTTTAACTGTGTTCCAGAGGATGTCATTATATAATTCATAGTAAGGAATAGTACCCTACAATCTGAGCTCAATATTATTGTTCTTTCAGAATTTATTTCTCAGACCATCCTTCTGAAAAGTGATAATTTTTTATTTTAACTCATTTTTAAAGTGCATTTAAAGATCTCAGCAGGGGACTAGGTATTAATAGAGTATCTCTCTATCACTTTAATGTGAGTCTTAGATGTAACAACACTGAGATCAATACTTAATCCATTATCCTCTGAATTAGGAGGACCATAGTGAGACCTACACATCTGCTCTCCCAGTCTTTTATGCCACAGCCTACCCACTGTGGGGCAGAGTGGGAAAGAGAGAAAGCCTTGGTGCTGTGCAAGTTCACTCCATCCCACCCAGAGCTGGTGCTTGTGCATGCAGCCCCATGGCACCGAGGCAGGGCAAGCAGAGCAGGCCCAGTGCCAGCCAGCAGCCAGTGTCTACCAGACAGCTGTGATGGGCAGCACAGCTTCAGCATCACACCAGGGAGTCAAGTCAATGGGTCAGGGTTATTGCAGCAAGGTGAAAAATGTCAGGCTATACACAGGCAAGGCCATTAAGACATGAATGGTTGAATGGCTGAGGACATGCATGTAATTTTCCTTTTTCTCCTCCATACTTGCACACCATTATGGTGGACAGATAGATCACCAGTAGACTCACAAGCAAGGTCAGATGACTGTGATCTTTACCAGGCAGGTCACCTTGGAAACATTGGTCAGTGAGAATAAGCAGCAACATAGGACATTTCTTCAAGGAACAAATTTTTTATTTAGCCCCGGGAGCACAGTAAGGGAAAAACAGTGTACTTGTTGCACCACCTGCAACTTTGCCAGTTTTTCTAAAAGCTTTGGTAGACCCAGCTTTAGAATATCTCCCTTTATACTTCATCTCTGTGATACTAAACTCTAGCCCTATCTGCTGCCTTTGAAAATCATGGGCTGATCAAACTGTTTTTTGAATAGGAGTGGACATGGTAACTCCAGAGGAAGCCATCAGACCAGGATTTTCAGATTTCAGGACTTGCTGCTGGGCCCTGGACACCTTACATTTTTTAAAGAGACAGAAAGGAACCTGAAACCATAGGAGTTTTCAACAATTTTTTTTTTCTATGGAAATGTCAAGGCAAAAATGTTTATTCAGGATTGACAGAGTAGGTGTAAGCTTTTTCATTCAAAGAAATGTCATCAATCTGAGTTGTTAGTAGCATTACTTTGTAAGTGTACTTTATTATCCTCCCAAATCAAGCTTCAATCCATTTGAATCCAGGGATTTACTTTTTTGTTACTTTCTGTAGCAAAGATTGCCAGACTAAAAATTATGGGAACTTACAGGGCTGTGAAGGAGGAAGTGTAGCCTTGTGTGACTTAGGAGTCTGTGGTGTGAGAAATCTGGCCTCAAGCTGCTTGGATGCAGCAAACAACTGTGGGGCCTTCAACAGAGAGGTTAGAGACCTTCTGCACTGAGCAGAGCAGGAAGAATGAATCATTAAAAATAACTTTTAAATCATGACGATAAAACAGACATTCCCAAAACAGATGTGATTCCCACAGAATATAATCTATCTAATGGAGAAAAGATATACTTCAGAACAAGCTTGTATACACATACACAAGCTTATGCGGAACTGGTTAAGCACTGTTCAGTAAGTTTATTCTGGTTCTCTTTTGTTATATGTGTAAATGGAAAAAATATGGCATCAGGTAATAAATCAACAGTCAATTGAAAGTGACCAGACATCAAAGGTTTTTGAAGGCTAATAAAGTGTTTCCTTGTCCTGGAGAGGGTCTGATCTTTCCCCTCAACTAAACTCCAGATCCAGTTATGGAAGAACAGCAACTTTTTTGGCTACAATGGACCTAAGAGATAACAAATCCAGTCCTGATGGGAGAGTGATATAACGCAGAAGTTTTGAATCCTGTTCTGCTCTCATTCACTCTAAATATATAATTAACACAATTCAGAGCTCCTTGTGGATTTGGAATGACACAAATAAAGATGAAGTTGTGATAAATATAAGCTTTCACATAATTTAATTTAATATATACTTTATATAAATTATACAAATGGAGGTTGGACCCGATGACCCACTGTGGTCTCTTCTAATCTAACCCATTCTGTGATTCTATGAATACTTCTCATTTGAGTAGAGTTAATGTCCTTGCTATCTAAAATCACTAATACAAATATCCTGTAAAGGAATTTCTTTTTCCAGCTCTTCCCTTCAGTATCACAATTGCCAGAAGAAGTTAGACGTTCAGAGAAGTGAACTTACTGTCCACAATGGATTGTGGTTACTGAGACACTTTGAGGGAAAAAATTACAAAGGAATGGGTACTAGGTGTAATTGCTAGAGAAGGACAGCTAAGGAAAATCTTAATGGCATGACTCTTAGGTTAAGACTAGAGTAAGACTCAAGTGTGCCTGCCTTCTAGAGAGAAGATAAAAAAGAGTAGCTTGTGAAAGAGGAATCTTACTGGCCTGCAAAAGCCAAACAATGCTGTGGACCTATAGAGGCATGCCATAAACTCACCAGTCTTCCTAGCTCAGGAAAATTCCAACACAGTTTTATTTCTCTCAAAAGCCAGTACTGACATACTGCAGCTGGACTTTCTGGTAGCTCACAGTTCAGTGGGCTATTCCTGCTATGAAACACAACATATCCAGGCAGCACATTGTTGTTAAAGCTAAAAAAACCTCATTGTATAGGAGTAGTTTATGGTCTTTATCAAGGTCATAGTTTTGGATGTAATATACTCTGAATACATGATGAGGCATAAAGCAGACTAATGTTACCAAGATGAAGAATAAACTCTTTGCCTGAGCCCTGAATTCCACGTGAGAGTTAATGTCAGGCCAGTATTTCATGGCTACTCTGTAGATCACAGTCAGCTGGATTCCGGTGAGCACAGCACACACCACCACCAAAATCCCAACCAGGCAGTAGTTGGCGATCACCATGTGAGCCTGCTGCAGCTCCCCGTGGAACTGGAAGCACTCGGAGGAGCGGTACGTCCTCGAGGTGCCATAGTAGGAGAGGAGAACGGGCGTGACCACCAGCGCTCCCAGCAGCCAGACAGCCCCCACCCAGGCCACGGTGTAGCACTTCCGAAACTCCAGGCGGAGCAGCCGGGCTATGATGATGGCCACGTAAAAGGCGAAGGTGGAATACATGTGCAGGTAGATGATGGCGCTCGTCAGCCTGCAGGCGAACCGCCCGAATTTCCACTCCCCCAGAATGTAGTAGCTGAGGCGGAAGGGGATGCTGAGGAGCATGAAGCTGTGCAGCACCAGGAGGCTGATGATCATAATGGTCATCACAGATTGTGATCTCCTTTGAAACAACTGCCGGGACATCATGATGACTCCAAGGGTGCCGCCAGCCAGGTTGATGATGTATAGGACTATCAGAAGTGTGTGGAGTTTCTCTGAGGAGTTCAGTGCTGTGTCATTGGAGGAGTGGTTCTGTTGGGTTATGCAGCTGTTAAGCATCCTCATAAGCTCCTCTTTTGAAGATTACTGAAAAGGAAAAATAGGAGCTAAACATTTTTCTTTGTTATTTCCTTTATTGTTAACTGGAATATCACAGATTCCTAAAGAGACACTACTGAATTGCAATTGAAATTATGTTATCCCCATGTAGTTTACAGCCTTATAACTGTTGTGATCCTGCATATGACAGCAATAACCCATGCCTCTTGGGGTTAAAACTACATTTTACATAATTATGAATGAAATTTTGATTAACTAAACTGCATTCTAGGATTTTTTTTTTCAATTATTTGCCTCTAGATTCAGCCATTTGTAATAATGAAGACGCTGTTTGTAAATTGTGCAAGTTTTATCTGCATTCATACTATAAAGCTTAAATTAGAGGTGGGAAAATACTGAAATATGAAAATGTTGTATCTATCATGTGTGGATACTCTGTGATGACAACTGATCCATCTTTTTAGCATCTTGCTGAATGGGTACAAAATACACATAGGTAGCAACAGTTTGTTTCTAGAAACATGGAGCAAATTGAAAAGAACGTCTGCAGATGAAAAGTCAATTTCTTTTTGCTTCATCTGCAAGTATTTTTTGCTACAGAATTTCACCTGAGTTACTCTACTATGAAAAGTGATGAGAAGGTGAAAATTGATTTAGGAATGATCTTCTGAAAGATATAATTCTTTTGGCACTTGTTGAACATAGCCACATACAGCTGCATTCTTATTTAGACAACTCAAAATGTGGACTTGTATACAGATTTCTGTACAAATATACAGGGATAATTCACAGAGTAGATAGATACTTTGCTAATGAAATGTACCCTTATCTTACAGTTTTGAAAGAATAAAGTTAGAGCTAAAAAATTATCTCTTAAAAGAGCATAATCTTTTCTGTCTGATTCCTTTGAAGTTTGAAATCAGTAAACTTGTTTTAATTGGCAAGTCTTAATTCTTTGCACCCATCTATGAATTGATAGACTGCAACTGCAAAACATTTTCAGAGAAACTTTTTATTTATGAAGCATCAGGCAAAACATCTTTACAAAGTCAAGATTTATCTTAACCTTTCTGTTCACCCACTTTTAAAATTCATGACCTTATAGCTTTTAAATGTTTAAAATTGTTTATCTGCCTAATAATCCCAAGACAAGCACAACAAATTTCCCAGAAACTTTGCTACACCTAAAGTTTTACAAATCAATTAATTTTCCAACATATATTGTTGATATTCCAAGTTGGCTTTGAAAATATACGAGTTTTAGTTGTTCTAGACAGCATAATTACAACCTAATGACAGCATTTTCTACCACTTTGAAATAGATTATATTTTTTCTATTTATAGCAATAAAGTATTTGAATTTTACCTTATAATCTCTTCTTTTTGTGACTCCACCCTGAAATGTGTCATTTCATGCAGCTGTAGCATATGGTGTGCATAAGCAGAGTGAAAAAGACAGTCTTTGACTTGTTTGACCAAGAAGGACTGAGAGTCTTCTCAGCCCACACACAGGAAGAAACAAGCCTTCCTTTCGCTCCTCTGCGATAGCAATCTTATATGTGCAACATCTAATGCTCTTTTCATCATGCAGGGAGAACCACAGAAAAGCTGCTGAGCTGGCTGAGACTATCAGTGTGCTGGGACGTGTAGAACAGATCAAGTCAGGACTTCCTCTGACCACAATTTGGTAATCCTAAAGCTCAGGCAGGCAGTTATTCCCTGAGCCATACAACTACCACAAGATACCAGGTTTTGCTGCTAAACAGGTGAGAAGTGCCACTGATCAAGGAAAGAAATGTACACCTGAGCAAAGGATTTTTTCCTTATACATCCACTTTCCCAGTGAACTGGCTTTATGTTTAATAATTAAGCTGAATGTTCCAGAATAACAAAGTGTTTAGCAGAGTTAACAGGGGATTTCACTCTAAGATGTTATTAGACCATCAAGGATTCAGAGGCGATTTCTCACAGTTTAAATATTATACATAAAACAAGATGTAGGCATATATGAAAAGCAGCTTAAGAGTTCCTGCTGTTAAAAAAAATACATGGGCAACAGGCCTTGAAAATTATTCCTGAACAAAAGGCATGAATGCAGACCCCAAAACATATCATTAGTATGTGTCAGCTCACTAAAAAGAGGAGGACTTTGAGTCATATCTCTTGTAGAGACATCAAAAAGCAGATTCTTTGCCAAAAATTAAACAGAAAAATGTTAGCCCAGTTTATTTTTCAGCTAAAGTTCTAGACCCCAATCAGAGTATCCCTACTCAAACATGATAGGCAACACATAAGGTTTTGTGAGCAAACTATAAAATAAAAACAGTATTGCAGAGGGGTTGAACTAGCATTGCTCCTGCCATCAGTCAGCCACCTTCTGCTGTGGATGAGAGGACGGTTCCCTTTGAGAGGCATGTCTGCTACCAAGAACAATGTTAGGAAGAGCAAGATGTGAAAGAGAGCTACCAGAACTAAATAAATACAAAACTTCAAAAAATAAAAAGCTGAAAAGAGAAACAGGAAGGTCTGTGAGGCTAAGGATGTGGAAACAGCAGTCTGTGAGAAATACTCAGGATAAACTCTGAAAGCTTTGAGAGAGCAGTTACCATTTCATTCAGACCAGGATTCAGAGCAGCAGGGATGCCCATTTTGGATGCTGCATATGTTTGTGGGCTTGGAGTAAAAGAAACATGTGATTGTTCCATTAGAGCACTGATGGAGGGCAGCTACCTGGGTAATGGTACTCACCAGCAGTGGTTCCAGCATCACCTAATCCCACACAAGGACAGGCTGCTGCCTGACACTGTAGTGGTGGTGGTTGGAGGGCAAAATGATCAGCTGGGTCTGCAGAAATGCACAGGAAGGTAGTGAACAGCCTGGATGTCAGACACTGATGGTTTCCATGTGTTAGAATGATCATGAAATTACAGCCACAGCCTCTGGGTGAAGCAGGGAAAGCTGCTGCCTTGTCCACAGAGCTTGAAGGAATCCATAAACCTTGAACCACCACGCAATAAAATCAGAAGAGACATGAAGAAATTGCATTCCTCAAGTAGTTGTTTTGTGACAGCCAGCACTCCAGACAGACCTGAATCAGACTCTGAGATCAGGAGTTTTGTGCACTCTGTTACCTTCTTGAGTCCAGTCTGAGCTCTTTGGATGTAAAGTCAGGCCAAAACCCAGCAATGATGTTGCCCAGGTAATTCTCTTGTCACCTTGGGGACAGTGCTGTTGGCTGGCACCAAAACTGCTGAAGGTCAGAAACTGAACTTCTCCACTGATGTTTTCATACCTCTCAGTCTCTTTTCCCTTGAAACATGTATGTTAATGCTGTTCAGTGTGCTAACCTTGTTTTTCATGTTCTTCTGTTAAATAAATAAAAAATAATTTAAAAATCAGGCAATTCAGCCCTGTAATCTAGCTTTAGTTTTTAGCTTACTTTGTTACTTGAGTGCAAGAGAAAACTTAGTCAGCACATAGCTTGCCTTGACCAGAGAATAAAGATTGAAAGTGACATGCATCTATACACAGCAGAGATCCAGGTCAAGACTAGATTTACAAATAGATTTTAAGGAAGGAAGGGACTGCACATATCTGGTTCAGCACTGGGGTAAACAGAAGACAAAGAAGAGTGGAGGTTTCAATTACTGAGCTGGGAAAATGAAACAGAAGAAGAAGTAGCAGCTGAGAGAAGAGAAACGAGACCTGTTGTGTGTTTGGAGATGGGACGAATATCTGTGGAAGTGTTGCTGCTGGTGCCCACGCATGCGTGTAGCAGATTTCCTCAACAGGGACTAGGTCCACAGTAGAACCCTAAGTTCTCCATTTCATGTCTGCATGTTTTCCTCTTCTCCCTGCATCAGTTGACAAAAATATTGTCTTTTCTGGTCAGTATAATAGCACCCAAGGCTTCACATTTGGTTTCAAGAGCTGCTTTCTGTCTTCAAACAGCCATAAAACTCTCCTGTCTTTTGTGACTGGATAGATTTTCAGTTTTAGCTACTTCCAGATTAGGGTGATAACTGCTGATAATTCATATGATTTATTAATATTAATCCTTTATTGCTAGCTGCTTACAAGAACTGAGTTACACATTGGTCATAAACAATGGTAAAATTATTTTACCATATGTTATGTTTTAAAATACTGCTTTTTCTGGGATTGCAGGTGAAATTACAGTTCTTGCTGTCTCGCTCCCAACTTTTCCGACATGAGTCACAGGTACTGGATAGTAAGAAATTCATATTCCATACTTAGGGAACATACAGGATAATCCCTTTAATTTGCCAATCCCACCCACCTATGCTCATGAATAATTTACTAACTTCAGCTAGTAAATGGTCAAGAAGTTTAGCAGAACTTTTCAGATTCTTGGACTACTCTTCTAATTATTTTATTGCAGGTTTACTTAGAGATTTCTCAGGCATTGCCAGGATGGGAGAAGCTGTCTGGCTTCTCTGTTTTTTAGAAATCATAATATATAGTTGCCTTAGTCATATCTATTTAGTATGCCTCAAAAGTAGACATTATGCTTTATATAAATAGAAGTAATATGCGGAGGAATTTGGCAGAGTATATCACAGGCAGGCTATGACTTACCTTTTAAAACAAAGCTGTTATTTATTTGATTTGGTGCAAAGAGAAGAGATTTGTTATTATAAATTCAGGAACTTGTCATAATTCTTCTGTCCTGGTACATGCCAGTTTAGAAGTAAGTTAGAAGAGTTATTAAATAGTTTTGTCCCATTATTTGGTCTAGTTGCCCTCTAACACCTGTAGTGGCAATTAAAGTTGTTGCTTTAGTTTACTCCAGAAAATTGATATTACTGGCTATAAAGCCATTTTACTTGGGAACAGCTGCAGAAAACCACAGGTAAGTCAAGGATCTGGCACCAACAGCATAAATTTTTCCTTACCCCAAATGCTTTTCTTTCTGCTTCACCATGCTGCTACTGGCTGTCCTTTTCAAGTTTCCCATTGCTTCAGTCTCACAGCCTTTCTCAGAAGTCTGTATTTCAAGGAATAGCCCCACATAATGCTGCTATACCTGGTTTATCATGTTCTGCTTGATAAATAACATCACAGCCATAGAGTCTGAATTCTTCCCTGATACTTATACGCAAAATCAACAAGCCTCTTCTGGAATTAGATCCCTGAAACTAATTTTTGCTTGAAACAGAGTTGGGCAAGGCTTAATCATTATTAAACTAAAAAGCAATTAGAAAGGAAGCACATAAGCCAATTAACTCATGCAGTTAATAAGAAGGATGTGAAGATTCTAGAGCAAGTCCAGAGGAGGCCATAAAATGATCAGAGGGATGGAGCACCTCTCCTATGAAAACAGGCTGAGAGAGCTGGGGTTGTTCATCCCAGAGAACAAAATGCTCTAAGGAGACCTTAGAGAACTTTCCAGTATATAAAGGGGACCTCCAGGAAAGATGGAAAGAGACTTTTCACAAGGACATGTAGGCGTAGGATAAGGGTAATGGTAATGGCTTTGAAGTGAAAGAAGAGAGATTTAGATTAGAGAGGAGGAAGAAATTCTTTACTGTGGGGGTGATGAGGCACTGAACAGGTTACACAGAGAAACTGTGGATGCCCCATTCCTGGAGATGTTCAAGATTTCGACAGAAGAGCCTTTGAGTAATGTAGTCTAGTGGAAGGTGCTCCTGCTCACGTCAGGAATTTAGTGATATTTGGTGTCCCTTCCACACCAAGGTATTCTATGATTCTATGATCAGGTTTTATGTTTGGGTTGTTTTCAAAAATTTCCATTTATCCTAAACTCTCCAAGGTCTTAAAACTGTATTTGTGGCCACATTTCACAAAAAATGAGCCTTAGTTTTACTGAGGCGAGTTTCCTATTTTTCTGAAAGAAAAACAAGTGCTTTTCTTCTGAATAGAGTTGCAGAGAGAGCACTAGAGGACAAGGATGAGGACTCTAAATACTAAAAATGATTGAATTTGTCAGTAAATTAGTTTATAATTTAGATGAGTCTAGTATCTAGAGGCCTGTCATCCTAATTTCATCAAAATACACATCCATAGAAGTAAGTTAATCAAAAAATAAGAAAAAGAAAAGGATCTTGAACTATTGAGGATTTGAAGTATCCAATATCAGCTCCATAGGAATGAAGCCTATGAGCAAATCAGTAAAAAAGAATTAGCATTTATTCTCGTGAGTGTTGGGTGGTAGGGAGTGGGAATGAATATCAATAGTGTGAATTCTAAGGTACAAAGGAAATTAAATATATTAAATATGAGTACAAAACAGAAGACCTAGTGCACCTCCAAAAAATAGTGATGTTTCTTTCTGTTCTCAGGGGTACAAAATGGACTGTTTGTGAAAGGAGAAGGTTTTTTAGTTCCCATCACTAAAAAGAGAACTGAATACAAAAACCATGCTGCAAGATATCAGACTTTTCTGGTTTAGTTTCCTGTGAGATACCCAAAGATGCCTAAAGAAGCAAAAATGAGTTTGAAATTTGAACCTTTTGGCTAGTGGATACCACCACAGAAATTTTTTTTCCTTCAAACCCCTTGGAGAAAACACAGGGTTTGTCCCACAGAGGAAACTCCAAAGCTGAGGCCATTTGGCGCTGGACAGAGCCCTGTATTTACAAAAAACTGATGCTCTCACCTTCAGAGAGCCTTGTCCATAGAATGACTGTCATTTGCAGAAGAAAATACAGCGAAGAAAAACCAGGTCTGCAACACTCAGCAACAGAAGTAGCTTAAAGTACTGTGCAGACAGGAATAATCTTAAGGGATTTAAAAAGACATGCCTACCATGTATTTCAAGTGTACTTCCTTCCAATCCCTGCCTCAAGAAAGGTTCTGTTGACTCCTTCAATGACACCAGTAACAGCCAGGAATGAACCTCTGTGCTGGCAAGTCCATCATCCATGATTCCAGCAGAACAGTGTAATTTCTGCTGCCATTTTTGCTAGTTGGGAAATCTCTATGCTTCCATTATGCAGACTGTTTACAGGAATAAAATGCGATGAATGCCATGTGTACGTCTGTTTATAGCCCATACTCTCAGCACATGGCAAAGAGAATATGTACAACAAACAAAAATGCTCTCATGATAAATTGATCATGATCCTAAATGCCATCAAACTGTCTACATAGATCCATTCAATAGCTTTCACTATTTCTTTGTTTCCTCAGTT